TGTCTGTAGTAGAGCCTTCATCGTGATCCTGTGAGTCAGCTTGTCGTCCACTCGAAGGCTGTCTCGCTATAAATAAATAAGTAAATAAGTAAGTAAGTCTATGTTCACCTTAGAAATCCCAGCACATATACACAGACATGCAAATACAACATTTACTACAACTGTGATTCTAATCTGTATCCTAAAACAGCATTTAAGGGTACAGCATAAAACTGTGAGTACTCAAAAAAATCAGCTGGATTATTTGAAACAACACCACGATGAAAACTGCTGTGCTCATAAAACGAACAGACTGGTATTGTTAAAGTGGTGGGCAATTATTAGCTTTTGTTGGCCATTCTAATAGAGGAAGACACTCATGACTTTGTGAAAGAGACCGATACCAAAAAAAAAAGCTGAACAGAGAGATCGAAGAGTGAGAGAAGGAGGTAAAGAATAAGCAAAGGAAGAATAGCAAAGAATAAGGAAAAAGGGTTGTTGAAGACATTTACAAAAAAACAAACAAAAAAACAAAAACAGGTTTGGCCTTCAGCAACATATCACATCTATAGCTGTAGGTAATGTGCAGTACTTTGCTGTGGTTCTGCTTCTCTGGGCCTTTTGCAGCTGGTCGGTGAATCCTGCGAAGAGTCATTTTGTCTTTTCAGAGTTGTGATCCTGTTTCGGACGTAGTTCTTTAGACCTTTCCACGTGCGGTTCCTCAGTGCTTTTGCCTCAGCTTCAAGACACTTGACGCAGTCGTCCTTCTGGGGCACTTTGTGCTCCTGAATGAAGCGCATCATGTGTTTTTCTACAGCATGAACCTCAGCATCCCCCCATACGTGTTTGGGTGTACATTTGGAGCCTGACAGAATAAAAAAAAAGAGAACTCACATTAATCCTGAGAAGAGGAAATGTGTGGAGTTTCTGTTCCAGAAACAGAACCAAGTTAAACTATCTGACAGTTACTGGGGTAACAGACTGAAATCAACCTGCTTGGTGGCAGGTTTTCTTCCACAGATTCTCTCTGAATCCCATCCTCTCCTGCTACACCTCCACCATCACTCAGTTCTCCCTTATTTATTGATACAGTCGATGTCAAATCTCATATTGGAGCAATTTGCCCACATTTACATATTTACAAATGTGCTTATATATTAAGCAGTAAATGCATAGAAAGAATCAACAGTACTGAGCTGGCCAATCAGAAGAGTTGTGGGTTGCACTGACCCAGACTACAGTTACATTTCAAGGGAGGTGGACATCAGGTTACGGTGTAAGGTTTC